TCTATGACCTCATAATAAAGCTTTACTGACTTGACTAAAATAGAGGAAAGTTTTTTTGCACAAATATTAAACCAGAAGAGGCAAGGCTAAGCCTATGGAGAGCAAAAACAACACACCTTGCCGAATGGATGAATGCTGAAGAATGTCTCCCCTTGAGACAAGACTCTAGGTGGACCATTTGGAAGTCAGTTAATTGACTTTGAAGAGAAGTAGGAAGATCAAAGAATAATCCAGTAAAATGAGGCTACTTGGATACTGCACAAACTTTCTGTGATTGTGGAGAAATTCAATCAATACTGTACATGATTTATATGCCTGCAACTTACACCCTTCACACCCAGCTTAGTATGTAACCAGAATATCATGGTCATTTCTCCCCCCCCCACCCCCGCAATCTTTTTAGTGAACAAAACAACTAATCACACAGGAAAAAGTCCATTTGAACCATTCACATTTTTAAAGAAGTGGAAGCCCCCAGAGGAAAAAAAGTCTATGTTGGGAGAAAAAAGGGCTACACTGGTTCAAACTGGCCTTTTTATTGTGTGAAAACAAAGTGGATCCATCCATTTTACACCCACAGAAGATCCCACAGTATTCGACCGTGTAGTAGCCATCTCAGCCCAGCATTCTGTTAATTCAAGGGCAAAGCTACATACAGTCAACCCTCGATATATATAAAGCCCATAAGGAGGACATCCATGTATTTTGATTTGTTTTACTTTATGTTTACTCAGCTTTGGATATAAACCACCCAGGGTGGTGTTTATCACTAATCAGTGCAGCATACAATTGGAATAAATAAATTGTAACCTCATGTTTGTGATCCACAGCATCTTATATGCAGAGGCATGCTTTCTTTTAATTAATAGTTATGTGTAGAGATGGGGGTATTCGTATTCATATACGAATATCGCCCCACAGGTGGAAATAATGTCCACTCACCATTCTGCCATGGATGCGTGCTGGATGGAGCCTTCCTATCGTGCCGCTGTCCACAATGGATTAGCCACTGTGCAACCCAGCAGAGAGGCTTGTCATCCCGCCTCCTGCCAGGAGTGGCTAATCCATTGCAGACAATGGCGCAATAGGAAAGCTCTATCAAGCATGTGCCCACAGCGGAATGGTGAGTGGACAGTCTGGCCCCATGGGACTGGACCCTCATCATTTCCACCTGTGGAGGGATATTTGTATATGAATACGAATACCCCCACATTTCTAGTTATGTGCTATCATGTTGATTCTGATGTACAGTGGCCTTTGGAAATTGTTGTTGTTTAGTCACGTCCGACTCTTCATGACCCCATGGACCAGAGCACGCCAGGCCCTCCTGTCTTCCGCTGCCTCCTGGAATTGGGTCAAATTCATGTTGGTAGCTTCCGTGACAGTGTCCAGCCATCTCATCCTCGGTCGTCCCCTTCTCCTCTTGCCCTCCCACTTTCCCAACATCAGGGTCTTTTCCAGGGAGTCTTCTATTCTCATGAGATGGCCAAAGTATTGGCCTTTGGAAATATAAAGTATATAAAAGTGGCTTACCATTCCCTTCTTCTGGAGGTACTCTGGAGCTTGCCCAAGGCTACACAGACTGGCTCTTCTTCCTGGAGGCACAGTGGGGAATCAAACTCTCAGTCTCTGATTCCACAGCCGGATGTCCGACTCTCTGAACTATCTAGCCAGCTGAATGAAAGTAATATATAGCAGTGATACATGAGCAATTGCTTTTGATAACCTTAGTGTTTATCATATCCATGTCTTTTCTGATTTAAAGTTATTGAGGATGGGGCCATCACTAACACAAACTCTATGGAAGCAAACGTTATAGTTTAGTTATGTGCTGTGTGAAGACATACTGTAGTTTCCTTTATTTGTCCTGATTCTCCTATTGTTCTGATTCATTGAATGATCCTGGGTTCAAGTATTCTAGGAACTGCAAAAAAAACTGGATTCCCCTTTTCTCAGTCTTTTCCAATTCCTTCTAAGCTGCAGGAATCAAACTTCACATGGTATGTTAAGGATGGTTACACTAGAGATTTGTGTAAATGCAGTACAATATAATTGTTCTATTTTCCATTCGAATTCCAATGAGCCCCAAGACAGAAATTTCAGTTTCATAGCTGTCTCAAACAAAGTTGCATTTTCACCATACTACCTCAACCCAAGATCCCTTTCCTAGTCATTCACTGATATTTAAATCCATCAAGAGTATTAAATGTGTGCCCCAGTGTGCTTCAATTTACACTTGTTCATGCTGAACTGCATTTGCCATTTTAATGCTGATTCCTTTAGCTACCTGTTTTTCAACTAGTCACTAACCCATAAAAAGACCCCTTCCATTATCAAATTACTGTTAGGTTTAGAGCCTTTGGTGAGGAACTCTGTTCAAAAGCCTTTTGCGAATGCGCATGAACAATATCTGTCATATCTTCTCTGTCTAAATGCTTGTTGACACTCGCAGAACACTGAAAGATTAGAAAGACAGGACTTAACAGAAACCACATTGATTCTTCTTCAGCAAGACTTTAAATATGCTTTCCACTAGTGTACCTGGAACAGACATTAAACTAAACAGCCTGAAACTTCCTGCCAGAATTGGCGCTGCCTTGGCCTTTAGCACATAACATGATCTTAAGGATATATAACATATTTTTGTTTCATGCTTAAGTCCTTTTAAGAGCTCTTGGACAGATATATTCCCAGACCCAGATGCAGAATCTCACATCTGCTCACCCTAATCTGGTTGAATTCCACTGACTCCATCCCAGAAAATATCATTTCAGATAACAGGCAACTAGCTTGCATCTTCTGGCTAAAGATAACAAAAAGGAAAAGGGTGTCCTTTCTACCTATGTGTGTTCCTGGACTCACCCATCACCACCTAATGCCAGCATGCAATCCTAATATGTTGTCTTTCCCGTAATCCACAAGGCAATCTCTGGTTTGTCTCCTTAGAGTTCCCTGTGCAAGCAGCTCTACTGGCTGAAAGGGAAGCTAAAGAATCAAAGTTTATCTGATTACTTGAGTAGCCATAATGACCAGCCATCGCCAGGAGGGCAACAATTCAGTCTCCCATCGCAAAAGAACCTTGGAGCCCTGCAGTGGTCACACATGTTGAAATTATGTAATCTTAGGGATGACTTTAAATGGGAGTAAGCCTCACTGAATGGCAGAGTCACATTTTTGGCTAGAAAGATATAGTCTAAGTACAGATTTTGCAACTGAAATTCTGTTATTTAACAAACATATTACATTCCTATTCAAGGACAGAAGAAAAATAAAAAAAAATCCTGCCCCTCCAGTTAAAAAAAATTTGAATAATTTTTTAGCTTTACATTTGGGGGTGGGGTATTTTCTTTTCTCCACCTATATGGTTTAGTGATTTATCTCAATTTTTAATATGAATGAAAAGCCTATCCATCTATAGCAAGCAACCATCATGCCTACAATTTGATTGTACTAAGAAATTAATAAACTGAAAACCTAAAAAAGGAGAGAAGAAAATAAGTAGCTATGCAAGTCCAGAACAATCCAGTGCACACTTACCTGAGTGTAAGCTCCATAGAAAACATGACATCTACAAGGAAACCAAATGGTAGGCACGTACAGTACAGGCATCAGTGACTAAAATCCACAGTCCTTTTACTCCAACGTGACACTAATATTGTGTACTTTGGGATTCTTAGATGAAATTCAGAGCACTAAATGTAGAGTTTTACAGATTAGCAGGGCTTTTCCTACGCTCTCTAATATAGCTATTCTGACCACAAAAAGTATCTCTGAAAGTTGAAGGCCTACCAGACCAGCATTCTGTTAAAAAAAAGGGGGGGGGGGAAACTGACCCTGGAAATAAATTGCAGCAATCTGACAGCAGGATAGTCCCCCAAACCCAGTCAGTACTGTATTATGAAAACAATTCAGGGGCTGGGGTGGTTACCCTCACCATTAGCACACATATTATATTGTGGAAGAAATGGGCAAACTGTATCCCTCTAGACATTGCACAACTACAGTTCCTATAATTCTTTGGCATTGCCTGTGTTGGCTAGAGTACTCAAGCAACATCTGGAAGGCTACATTTAAACACATAGTTCTGCTTTTTAAAAAAAACCCACACTACTCAGTACATCAAGAGTTTAGGCTACATTTCCCAAGAGCCCTCTATAAAAATAAATCTGCTGGTTCATTAAGGTACAAGAACACATACAGCCCTATAACATTTCTTATACTTTCTTCTATGTCTTCTTCCCTACTAGTTTCTTTATGAAGAATCTATTACCTCTACAGTAAGCCCTCTAGGAAAAGCTCTCTGATGAGATCCTCCTGGCTTTGTTCTGGATTAAATACAAACAGATAGGAAAAGTTACTTTAAAGTTGTGATTTGCATTGGACTATTGTTACATTTTTAAATAATAATTCCTAAGATTATTGGAACAAAACAGAAGGGCTATTTTCATTATTTTTTTAAAATTCACCTTAGCTGAAAATCAAATCAAAGAGTTCCATAATACTCTTAATACCCTTTTATTTAAATCTTGCAACAGCAGTACTGACACTGAGCACAAATGTATTTTCAGAATCAGGCCTAACTAAATCCAAGCCTAACAATTGTTACACATAGGCAAGCTAATGCATTGAATAGAGCTTACTCCAACATAGGACTATAACATAAGCCTTACTCTTCCAACCTGGCTTAGTTAAGCTGTAGAAGCAGAGGACGCTAGCCAACATCTCCGTAGGCAGAAGGCGGAGTCTGAAGATGATTGGCTAACTGGATGGCCCCCCAGGTGTATGTCTTTCCTTTGATTCTTAATTTGAGTAGAACCGCTTTCTTAATGACACCTGGAATTTATTTAAGAGACCACAACTAGTTCCTTTCATTCTCTTGACTAACCTGTCATGGGGAGATGGTTTCTTTGCCTTGACTGAACCCCATGATGAAGATTTTGTGGGGGGCATTTTTTTGTCTCTGTTTTATCAGGCTACTCTTTTTTGGTGTCCAGTGTTCTCCCAGTTCTAGGGATGAAGGGGACTCTCAGCCATGGCTGGCATCAGAGGTGGAGGCCTCTGAACCACCTCCAACGTTGTGGTTTCCTTCAGATGTAGAACATGGCCGTGGCTTGTTGCCTCCTTTCTTCAAGGTGTTGTCAGATCACAATCACCAGGGGCTGGAAGATGGCACCCGCAGACCACAGCCAGATGCCAGAGCTCTGAGATACATGAAGAGACTATATAAAATGTTTGCCACCAAGGAAGGGATCCCAAAGGTCAACAGAAATAATCTCTATAACACAGTCCGGCTCTTTAGCCCACATGTGCAATGCAAGCATCCATCTGAAGGCCAAGTAAAAGGTAGGTGATATTTGAAGTTTTTGTTTTCATGTATGAGACTGTATGAGCCCCTTTCTGTTCCTTGATAAATTACTTCTGTAAATCACAAAAATGGTTATATATGCCCTTTGTAAGGATATCAAAGACTTATTGGGCTTCTGTGGCCATATGTGTATGCACATCCAGGCAAATTCTGCACAGATCAGTAGACTCAACTGTTAAATTCAAGTGTGTTATTTCACATTTGTAGCAATGGGAATCATTGCTCATTTCAAAGGTCTCCCTATACTGCTTGACTTTAAATTTTCAGGGAAATCCCCTGTGATGTTCTGAATGAGACCTTTCTCCTACCCATGACTAAAATTGCATATGTGCTTGTATTTTTAGAAGAATCCAAATATTCCCCACAATAGCCTAATTTTTGTAGCATTAATGCAGATTTATCCAGCAAAAGCCGTATCTGATGCAAGTCTGCTCTAAATACACTAGTTGGGATTCTAACTAGTTAGCTTTCAAAGAAACCCTAAAGGGAAATGGTGTATGTTACTATGGTCCCCCATGGCATTTTGTTTGTTTTAAAATTGGTTCTTTTTATATGCTGGTTTCCCCAACCTGGCATTTTCCAGATGCCTTAGACAAGTGGTCCCCAACCTTGGGCCTCCATATGTTCTTGGATTTCAATTCACAGAAATCCTGGCCAGCAGAGGTGGTGGTGAAGGCTTCTGGGAGTTGTCGTCCAAAAACATCTGGAGGCTCAAGGTTGGGGACTGTTGCCTTAGACTACAAATCCTGCCATTAACTGTTGGATAGGTTTGGTGTGGTTTGTAGCCCATCATATCTGGAGAGTCCCAAGTTGAGGAATGCTGCCCTAAAGTGTTCAGTTTAGTTAAAGGTTTGGTTAAGCTAGTGGTTCCAATCTTTGGTCCCCAGATGGGTTTGGACTACAACTCCCAGAGATCCTGGCCAGCACAGCTAGTGGTGAAGGCTTCTGGGAGTTGCAGTCCAAGAACATCTGAGGACCCAAGGTTGGAAATCACTGGGTTAAATTTTATCATTGAATTGGATCGCTTTTCCCTTCTATTGTTTGTCTCTATTGGAAAAGGTGAATATATAAAGATGTCTTTACTTAAGTTAGTGGAAAGAGACCCACTACTTTACCAAAATACATAAAAATTGCAAATTATTACAAATTTATTACAAAATAACAAAATTTGTAACAATGTGAGGTTACAAAGATCTATTGGTAAAGCAAGGTTGAATCATTCTTAATAAGAAATATTTCAAGTGTCTCTGAATAAAGGCAGAACATTTCCCTGCACTCCTAATTAGTTGCTCCACCTTTACAATCATGGATCATGGTTAAAAGTAGAAATCCAACGTCACCGCACAATCCAAGAGAACTATTCTTTCACCCTTTGCATTAGTTCACCTCTCTTTGTAAAATGAATTATGAAAAGTAACTTAAGTTCTGCCACCTTTTTTTCCCTACCTGAAACTGTTGGCTCTCTTTTTTCTTTCTCTCCTACAATCACCAACCCACCTAATTTGTGTAAAACTGATTGCAGTCTCCTCACCCAGATACCCACAGCTCATACTTTCTGCTCACCTTGCTGTGTTTCTGGACACTTCTATGAAGCAATGTCAGTGTTATGCTGTAGTTAGAGAATTTGAACCAAAAGAGTTACTCCAGGCCCTGTCTTCCCCAACCCACCACCACAACCATATGTTGTTGTTCTCCTTCACCTGGTCATGGATGAGACTCTTTCTCTGCCCTCTTCATTACTAATGCTGCAAAACATATCCATGAAAACTATTCAGATTAACTCTTTCAAGTTGTAGATAAATGGTGAACAGATGAGAACTTAGTTAAGTTGCATAATCAAAAAGCATCCTTTTTAGACTAGTTGAGTTAGAAGTTAGTAGAATATAAGTAACATAAGTAGTTTGTTCCAAATACAGCTAAGAGGCCACTATGTTCCAATTTAATGGAAATTAGCTGATAGTATAAATGCAATGAAATAGGCCTGATTATTAATAGGAAAGTACTGTACTCAGTTATTGTTCTGTTGCCTTTTCTTATTGCAACAGAAATACAGGTATCAATGCATCCTTAACATTTCCAAGAACTGAGAATGCCTTCATCTGCATATATTTTTGCATGCAGTACGTAAAGGGTTCACGTTGCAGGGTTCACAAAGTACACACTAAATTTTTGCTTTTTTTCCTTTTATGATCTTTCTTTTTTCTTTTTCCTTTTCTTTTAGCGGTTTGTGGTGGGCTAATCTGGCAAGATGGAGCAGTGGCCTAAGCTACACCAGCTGACTAGCAGCAGTCATCTTAATGTCCTACAATGTGTCAGCTTGGATGCACTTATTGTCTCTGTCATTCACTCTGGTATATGTTGGAGACATTGTGGGGCATTAAAATGGTAGCCAGACCCAACTAGGTGGAATGTGGGCCCAGTAAAAAGGATCAAAGGGCATACAGAGGCATTGGAGAAGGTCTCTGCAGCACATGAGAGGGCAGGGCAAGCGACTGCCCAATATGCTGTCTATTGACACATGCCCTAGTTATAGAGGTCTCTTTCTGGTGGATGGTGTTATATTTGGTTTCCAAGGTGGCAATTCTTTGATTTTCTGACTGAACATGAAAGAATGCAACCCATCATATTATATAAGATTTCCATCTGTAGCAGTTTCTAAAGTCTGTTTTTTTGTTTGTTTGTGTTTCTTTTGTTTGTTTGTTTGTTTTGCTCATTGCTGCTTCATTAGGGTTCATTATACAATATTAAATTGCACCTTTTGGCAGAAGTTGGCATTGGTGCAAGTTAATATTGGCACAGTTGGAGTTTGGAATATGAAGGAAAATAAGGCATATTTGGTTCTAAAACATTTAGGATTTATCTGGAGAGAAGTGGTGTACTCAGAGTGAGGTGGGCTGTTGGAATTTTCTTTGAGATCATTTGCATGATTTTGGAGGTCTGAAATTACTTTTTAATTGCTTCATTTTTCTTTTCTTTTTGCAGGAGATCTTCATTCGGTGGACCTGCTTTTCAACTTGGACTGGGTTACTCATGTGGAGTACTTACTTAAGTCCATCTTGCTCTATTCATTTGATAAGTCCATTTCCAAATCTTCAGCTCTTACATGCACATGCAACCTCACTGTACAGGAGTACGATGCCTCTAATCAAGTGTGTTCCAACATGTCACAGGCAATGACTTTCAATATGCAGCTTGAAATCAGACGCAAGTGGGTTGAGATTGACGTGACCTCTTTTCTTCAGCCTCTGATAGCTTCCAACAAGAGAAATATTCATATGGCTGTGAATTTCACTTGCCTGAAAAATGACCAGTCCCCCAAATTGAATCAGGACTCCTTCAATATGGTACTGGTAGCACCTTCTCTTCTTCTGTACCTAAATGACACTAGTGACCAAGCTTATCATAGGAACAATCGTCTCAAGCGCAGGAGGAAAAACCCTTTGTGGTCTGGACGCAGGAAGGGTTCTTTCACAGTTCCCAATAAAGAAACTCCACAAAAAGTTCGTAAACAAGCCAAAAGAGCCCTTCGACGCCGACGAGATGGAGGGATGGAGAATACACCCATTCTAATACATGACTTAAGTCAATACTATGAACAGTTCCTCTTTCCCCAAAATGAATGTGAGCTTCACAACTTTTGGCTAAGATTCAGCCAGTTGAAATGGGACAGATGGATAATTGCACCCCGCAGATACAATCCCCACTATTGCAAGGGTAAATGTCCAAGAGTAGTTGGGCATCGCTATGGCTCTCCTGTCCATACGATGGTACAGAACCTCATTTATGAAAAGCTAGATTCTTCTGTTCCCAGACCCTCCTGTGTTCCTGCGGAATATAGCCCTCTAAGTGTCTTGAAGGTAGAGCCTGACAGATCCATTGTGTATAAAGAGTATGAAGATATGATAGCTACCAAATGTACTTGTCGTTAAACCTAGCTTAATTTACCAGTGCTTTCCCTAGTATTGCAAAAAATAGAAATAAAGAATTAAAAAATTCCTGCTGTTGAAAAACAAGACTTAGATGGAGTACTGGGGCAGGTATTTCCATTTCCATTTATTTTGTTTACTTCTGATTTACAAAGTGTGAAGTTGGTGTAAGGAGGTTTTCCTTGTTGATTTGAAAATGGAGAAATATTCCATAAATTGTGTAACATTTTGTGTTTTTTTGGGGGGCGGGGGAAATACTGTTCTCTAGAAAGAAAACAAGAGGAATAAAATACCTGTCCTTTCATGCCATTTTTGTGTAGTTCTTGTTTAGTCTTTCCTAAGTTTAAAATATATTTTTATTTAAGAACAATTTTTATGACAAGTGTCTGGGCACAAAAGGTTTTACTATTGCTAACTTGTCAATCACTTAATTTTTATATTTAGTTTTAGTGATTGCAACTGGTTGTCTGAGACAACTTCTGCCCTTTATTATGATGACTACCGGAGGTAAAGGCTGTTTTAAAGCAATGGGTAACCTTTTGTCTTGCTCTGAAGGCTTTCATGTTACAAAAGAATATGATATAGAACATGTCCTGGTTGTATGTCTAGAGCTACACATTTCTGGGAAGTGACTTACTAGTATGGTTTTTTTACATAAAATCCCTACATGAGGACAGTTCTGCATAGGCAGTAACTTGTAATCTGATGTGGATCCAGTCATACATATGGTATGGAAACAGTACAAAATGATAGTGAGTTGTCACTTTGTATATGAAATAACATACTTTATACTAATTCTGTGCAAAACTGCCCTCAACACAAGTACTGTATTTTGTAATGTGAGAAGTGGCCCTACATTTCACTGTATTTAACTGGGGAAATCTCTTTTGTCTGTGAGCCTTATCAGATTGGATTGATGAGATCTTATATTTGGCATTCAGCAATTTTTAAATGCTTGCTATCTTCTATTTTCCTTGGCTTATGAATGAGATGCACCATACAAATTAAAACAAAGTTACATTCCAATCACATCTGTAAAAAGTAGGTGTGATTGACAAGTACTAGCTAGCTTAAAGCATTTTAATGTTGCCTTATGTTGCTGAACTGAAATGCCACCTGAGTGTATTCATAAACCTGAACACTTGCTGGAAATAAATGTAAAGCAATTGCAACTTGGCTTTGTTTCTGCCCTCTTATGAATTTGAGATAGCGAACTGTAGTGATCAGGTAGTTGCCTGCTAGTTTGGAGAAGAAATGTAGCTACCTTAAAATAAGGTAAGAGGTTTCGTGCATGTTGCACTTCCAATGTATACTTCTAAACCAGTGGGATTACAGTTCAAAATGTAAGACTGTCACTATTGGATGTCATGAGAAATCCTGTTAGAATAACTTAATGCCAGGCAAATAGGATGTCATCATTAATTGAAAGCTCTCTACCCTCCACATTCAATGCTCCCTAGAGCTCCCTTTTGTCCTGGAGAAGCCAGAATGCTGGTGGGGAGCCTTTAGCGTTCAAAAATCACTGCTGGGATGCTGGTGGTGAGATGGACTGCTGCCAATTCAGCCATTTTTTGGATATTAAAGTTCCTCCCTTCTGATTTCAAGATTCCCAAAGGCTTTCCCAGGTCAAAATGCAGCCCCAGAGAACCTTGGAACCTAAAAAGTTGGGGAACTAGAAGCCTTTCAAATTCATTAAATATTACCATTTTGGGATGATGACATCATCCTACTTGTATCGTGTAAAATAGTGCAAGAGGATTTCAGCCAATATGAGGAATAGTGTCCTCATTTAACCCGAAACCTCAAAAGCAGCACAATCCTCTGGGCAGTAGGCCAAGCCAAAATTTTCTTTGCATGTTCCATCTATTTGCATAGTTAAACTGTAAAACTATTTTCACAGTTCTCATATTTGTGATAGGAAACTAAGGAAGATGGAATCAAGTTTATGGGTAACATCAATGGTTTCCTGTTCAGACGAATAAAAGGAATTTTCAGTGATGTTGGTAGGCTATGAAGCAAGCATGGACACACAAACTTATGAGGAGCACAGAAAGCCGGAAGAAGATGCATTTAATGGAAAAAAAGTTTTAGAATCCAATATACTTAGCTTGGATATTAAGCTTCAAGCCAGACACCACACTTAGTGGCAGGGTGAGTGTCTCTGTGTGGATAATCAGCAAGCACATCATTCGTAAACACAGATGTAAAGGGCAATTTAATTTAAGATGAATAATATAACATCTTGGCTCACATCATCTGTGATGTACTGTACATACAATTTGAAGACCTACTTGCCCCCTAACCCCAGTTCAACAGGTGAAGAGTAGATGGGAAGATAGGTGCCAGGTGTTTTAGACTAATGATATGAAAGCATATTTTAGGATTTTGTGTATCCTCCTCATCTCTCTTCTCTTCTCTTCTCTGCCTTTGTCTCCCTCCTTTCTATCTCCCAAACTGTATTCCAAAATAAATCAGCACCTGTATTTTCTTCAGTAGGATAAACATTGTGGACCAAGGACAGTCAACATCTGTAACTTGAGGGTGGGGTACTGTTTATGGCTACGGTCTATTCCTATCAGGTACACTGAGAATTAAATTCAATTTGGTTTTTATTGCTTTGGCACAAGAGGCCATGGCAAATTATGTGATTAAAAACAATGCAGTACATGACTGCAATATAATAATCAAGCTGGGTTTTGTGCTTATAATGCATTGGAAAAAGTCTGCATAAAACATCCTACTGTAAGCTTAACCATTGAGATACGAAGGATCCTGAGTAAAATAATTTGTCAGCTTGGTTAACTGTAGAACATGTAGACTTTGTTTTTATATATATGGTAACAAACCTTGCTATTCTGAATGTGAAAATGTTCTAAGGAGAGAGTAATACATCTTGATCAGATCAAAATAGACCTCAGTAGTTTTGTTTGTTCTACTGCAAACGGGGGACAGTGAATTGTATCATGCCAAGTCCCTAGCTGATTTATGATTTCAGGAACAGACCCTTCCTTTAGTTATATGGCATTCCTTTATACTAGCCTTCTAAACCAGCAAGAGGCAAATGTTCAGACATGACTTACTGAAGGCGGTTCCATAATTGAAATCCATAATATCAGTAAAATAAGGTCTGAAGAATGGAAGATCTTTTTAGGAAAAAAAGGCGCTATTCTCAACGTGCCTGATATAAATCGACATTTGTTTGAACACAAAGGTCTTATAGTTTTTGCTTTAATGAAATTTTTGCTGCAGAAGATTTGATATGCCTCACATACTGTTCTGAAAATCAAAGTTTAGCAATGAGATTCAGTACAAAACCTCTCTTTGAACCAAATTTCATTTCACTGTGTTTTAATATTAGAAAGCTGATAGGTGGCAGAAAATAGAATTTTCAGCCAACAGTTAATGACTGCTTTAAAACTAAGGTCACTAATGCTATTAATATCAATTCCAGTCTAACTAGAGCTGTAGGAGTTGAAGTGGGGGATGACAAGAGTGACCAGGCAATTTTATTTGGGATGACTTGCAATGATTGTAAACTTCTTTCCAAGCTCTTTCTTGTTGTTCCATACACTATCCGAGAAAGCGAAACACATGTTCCAATACCTATCCCCTAGTATACATTTATTGGGATGAGGCCTTCTATTAAACACCATGATCTTGGTTTTCTCACATTGAGCGGATACCACTTACAATAATTGCTGAATTGTTTCAAAGCAAAAGCAAAGCGTGCTGCTTATATACTGCCCCATAGTGCTTCAAGCATTCTCTGGGCAGTTTACAAGTTAATTATGCAGGCTACACGTTGCCCCCCCCCCCAGCAAGCTGGGTACTCATTTTACCGACCTCAGAAGGATAGACGGCTGAGTCAACCTTGAGCTGGCTACCTGGGATTTGAACCCCAGGTCGTGAGCACAGTTTTGGCTGCAGTACAGCGGTTTAACCACTGCGCCACGAGGCTCCTCTCAGCAATCTTCTAAGGTCTATTTGAGTGTGAGATATTATCACCTGTGCAATGCAGTATTTAAATGGCCTTTCCACCTGCTCTGCCTGGGAAGAACTGGAAACCTGCTAAATTACAGCATTATTTATATATAAGTTGAAGAGCAACTAGACCAAGATATAATCTTGATGTATTCTTTTGGATGTTTTAACTGTGTTAGACAATTGTCCTGAAATGCCAACACTGACCTTTAGAGAAGTATTTATTTATTTCATTAATTACATTTACAGTACTGTATATCCCAGGCAAGCTACTAGTCTAGGTGGCAAACAGCAAATAAACCCATATACCTACCCACCAAATCATAAAAACAATAAAAGAATGAATGAAACCCCCAAAGGCAAGGGCAAACTAATACAAATACAGTCACACAGAACGATAAGAAAAATCACAGTATTGGTATGCAGATCTTTAACTCTCTCTAACAACTTGAGACCTGGACTGAGTTTTTAAAGTTTTCTACATAATCTCAGAATCGCATCAACTGAGATTTTTCTGAGACCTGCTCTTATAGAATTTTTTTTTAAAAAAATCAGCATCAAGAGTGTCGATACATTGGTAAACTTGCGTCAAACCAGCTTTAAGGGCATTGATTAGTAAGTGTCACATCACTCCATCTATTGTCTGGCAAGCAGAACAGGCCAGGGGTGTGTGGTACCAGGTCCATTGAATGCAATGCATTGCTTCCAGCGCAATGGAGAAAAACTTACCCATCAGGAAATAGTACCCAACAAATCAATGTAACACTCAACATTTTTAAAAATTAAAGTTAATGGGTTGCAGTGGTTCATAAAACAAGAGAGAAAATAAACTGGTACCATGGTGTAGCAGTCCATAAAGATTCAAATTGAAGAAAATGAATCAGTAACATTAAAACACATTGGGACACTCATCCAGGTATACCATGTGACCACGAAGCTTTACAACAGAGATATGGAAAATATCGATAGAATATTTCCCTGGTGTGGCTGTGACCTTTGTTGGTTTTTCATAGTTGCACATTCTTTGTCAAAACACCTTTTATTGGTTAGTTTCATTTAATTTACTATTC